TACATAGTGCAGAGTTCAGGGGTGTGCTACGTACAGAGTGCAGAGTTCAGGGGTGTGCTACATACAGAGTGCAGAGTTCAGGGGTGTGCTACGGACATAGTGCAGTTCAGAGTTCAGGGGTGTGCTACGGACATAGTGCAGAGTTCAGGGGTGTGCTACGTACATAGTGCAGAGTTCAGGGGTCTGCTACATACAGAGTGCAGAGTTCAGGGGTGTGCTACGTACAGAGTGCAGAGTTCAGGGGGGTGTGCTACGTACAGAGTGCAGAGTTCAGGGGTGTGCTACGTACATAGTGCAGAGTTCAGGGGGTGTGCTACATACAGAGTGCAGAGTTCAGGGGTGTGCTACGTACACAGTGCAGAGTTCAGGGGGCGTGCTACGTACAGAGTGCAGAGTTCAGGGGTGTGCTATGTACATAGTGCAGAGTTCAGGGGTGTGCTATGTACATAGTGCAGAGTTCAGGGGTGTGCTACGTACAGAGTGCAGAGTTCAGGGGTGTGCTACGTACAGAGTGCAGAGTTCAGGGGTGTGCTACGTACAGAGTGCAGAGTTCAGGGGTGTGCTACGTACAGAGTGCAGAGTTCAGGGGGGTGTGCTATGTACATAGTGCAGAGTTCAGGGGTGTGCTACGTACAGAGTGCAGAGTTCAGGGGTGTGCTGCATACAGAGTGTGTACAGAGAGTTCAGGGGTGTGCTACGTACAGAGTGCAGAGTTCAGGGGTGTGCTACGGACATAGTGCAGAGTTCAGGGGTGTGCTACGTACAGAGTGCAGAGTTCAGGGTGTGCGTGCTACGTACACAGTGCAGAGTTCAGGGGTGTGCTACGTACATAGTGCAGAGTTCAGGGGGGTGCTGCTACATACAGAGTGCAGAGTTCAGGGGTGTGCTACGTACATAGTGCAGAGTTCAGGGGTGTGCTACGTACATAGTGCAGAGTTCAGGGGTGTGCTACGTACAGAGTGCAGAGTTCAGGGGTGTGCTACGTACAGAGTGCAGAGTTCAGGGGTGTGCTACGTACAGAGTGCAGAGTTCAGGGGTGTGCTACGTACATAGTGCTGTATACAGAGTTCAGGGGTGTGCTACGTACAGAGTGCAGAGTTCAGGGGTGTGCTACGTACATAGTGCAGAGTTCAGGGTGTGTGCTACGGACATAGTGCAGAGTTCAGGGGTGTGTGCTACGGACATAGTGCAGAGTTCAGGGGTGTGCTACGTACAGAGTGCAGAGTTCAGGGGCGTGCTACGTACAGAGTGCAGAGTTCAGGGGTGTGTTACATACAGAGTGCAGAGTTCAGGGGTGTGCTACATACAGAGTGCAGAGTTCAGGGGTGTGCTACATACAGAGTGCAGAGTTCAGGGGTGTGCTATGTACATAGTGCAGAGTTCAGGGGGTGTGCTACGTACAGAGTGCAGAGTTCAGGGGGTGTGCTACGTACAGAGTGCAGAGTTCAGGGGGGTGTGCTACGTACAGAGTGCAGAGTTCAGGGGGTGTGCTACATACAGAGTGCAGGGTTCAGGGGTGTGCTACGTACAGAGTGCAGAGTTCAGGGGTGTGCTACGTACAGAGTGCAGAGTTCAGGGGTGTGCTATGTACTAGTGCAGAGTGCAGAGTTCAGGGGTGTGCTACGTACAGAGTGCAGAGTTCAGGGGTGTGCTACGTACAGAGTGCAGAGTTCAGGGGTGTGCTACATACAGAGTGCAGAGTTCAGGGGGAGTGTGCTACGTACAGAGTGCAGAGTTCAGGGGTGTGCTACGTACAGAGTGCAGAGTTCAGGGGTGTGCTACATACAGAGTGCAGAGTTCAGGGGGGCGTGCTACATACAGAGTGCAGAGTTCAGGGGTGCCTACGTACAGAGTGCAGAGTTCAGGGGTGTGCTACGTACAGAGTGCAGAGTTCAGGGGTGTGCTACATACAGAGTGCAGGGTTCAGGGGTGTGCTACGTACAGAGTGCAGAGTTCAGGGGTGTGCTACGTACAGAGTGCAGAGTTCAGGGGTGTGCTACGTACAGAGTGCAGAGTTCAGGGGTGTGCTATGTAAATAGTGCAGAGTTCAGGGGTGCACTACATACAGAGTGCAGAGTTTAGGGGTGCACTACACACAGAGTGCAGAGTTCAGGGGTGTGCTACGTACAGAGTGCAGAGTTCAGGGGTGTGCTGTACATACATAGTGCAGAGTTCAGGGGTGCACTACATACAGAGTGCAGAGTTCAGGGGTGTGCTACGTACATAGTGCAGAGTTCAGGGGTTTGCTATGTACACAGTGCAGAGTTCAGGGGTGTGCCGCATACAGAGTGCAGAGTTCAGGGGTGTGCCGCATACAGAGTGCAGAGTTCAGAGCGGTGCCTCATACAGAGAGCAGGGATCATGGGTGTGCTGCATACAGACTGTAGGGTTCAGGGGAGCGCTGCATACAGAGAGCAGAGTTCATGGATGTGCTGCATACAGAGTGCAGGGTTCAGGGTGTGCCGCATACAGAGAGCAGAGTTCAGGGGGTGTGCTGCATACAGACTGTAAGGTTCAGGGGTGTGCTGCATACAGAGTGCAGGGTTCAGGGGTGTGCCGCATAGAGAGTGCAGGGTTCAGGGGTGTGCCGCATACAGAGTGCAGGGTTCAGGGGTGTGCCGCATACAGAGTGCAGGGTTCATGGGTGTGCTGCATACAGACTGTAGGGTTCAGGGGTGTGCTGCATACAGAGTGCAGGGTTCAGGGGTGTGCCGCATACAGAGTGCAGGGTTCAGGGGTGTGCTGCATACAGAGTGCAGAGTTCAGGGGTGTGCTGCATACAGACTGTAGGGTTCAGGGTGTGCTGCATACAGAGTGCAGGGTTCAGGGGTGTGCCGCATACAGAGTGCAGGGTTCAGGGTGTGCTGCATACAGACTGTAGGGTTCAGGGGAGCGCTGCATACAGAGTGCAGAGTTCATGGGTGTGCTGCATACAGAGTGCAGAGTTCAGGGTGTGCCGCATACAGAGTGCAGAGTTCAGGGTGTGCCGCATACAGAGTGCAGGGTTCAGGGGGTGTGCTGCATATACAGAGTGCAGGGTTCAGGGGTGTGCCGCATACAGAGTGAAGAGTTCAGGGTGTGCCGCATACAGAGTGCAGAGTTCAGGGTGTGCCGCATACAGAGTGCAGGGTTCAGGGTGTGCCGCATACAGAGTGCAGGGTTCAGGGTGTGCCGTATACAGAGTGCAGGGTTCAGGGTGTGTGCGCATACAGAGTGCAGGGTTCAGGGTGTGCCGTATACAGAGTGCAGGGTTCAGGGTGTGCCGCATACAGAGTGCAGGGTTCAGGGTGTGCCGCATACAGAGTGCAGGGTTCAGGGTGTGCCGCATACAGAGTGCAGGGTTCAGGGTGTGCCGTATACAGAGTGCAGGGTTCAGGGTGTGCCGTATACAGAGTGCAGGGTTCAGGGGTGTGCCGTATACAGAGTGCAGGGTTCAGGGGTGTGCCGTATACAGAGTGCAGGGTTCAGGGTGTGCCGTATACAGAGTGCAGAGTTCAGGGTGTGCCGTATACAGAGTGCAGGGTTCAGGGGTGTGCCGTATACAGAGTGCAGGGTTCAGGGTGTGCCGCTGTATACAGAGTGCAGAGTTCAGGGGGGGTGTGCTACATACAGAGTGCAGAGTTCAGGGGTGTGCTACATACAGAGTGCAGAGTTCAGGGGTCAGGGGTGTGCTACGTACAGAGTGCAGAGGTTCAGGGGTGTGCTACGTACAGAGTGCAGAGTTCAGGGGGGTGTGCTACGTACAGAGTGCAGAGTTCAGGGGTGTGCTACGTACAGAGTGCAGAGTTCAGGGGGTGTGCTACGTACATAGTGCAGAGTTCAGGGGTTTGCTGTGTACACAGTGCAGAGTTCAGGGGTGTGCCGCATACAGAGTGCAGGGTTCAGGGTTTGCCGCATACAGAGTGCAGAGTTCAGAGCGCTCCTCATACAGAGAGCAGGGATCATGGGTGTGCTGCATACAGACTGTAGGGTTCAGGGGGGGAGCGCTGCATACAGAGAGCAGAGTTCATGGATGTGCTGCATACAGAGTGCAGGGTTCAGGGGTGTGCCGCATACAGAGAGCAGAGTTCATGGGTGTGCTGCATACAGACTGTAAGGTTCAGGGGTGTGCTGCATACAGAGTGCAGGGTTCAGGGTGTGCCGCATACAGAGTGCAGGGGGTTCAGGGTGTGCCGTATACAGAGTGCAGAGTTCAGGGTGTGCCGCATACAGAGTGCAGGGTTCAGGGTGTGCCGTATACAGAGTGCAGGGTTCAGGGGTGTGCCGTATACAGAGTGCAGGGTTCAGGGTGTGCCGTATACAGAGTGCAGAGTTCAGGGTGTGCCGTATACAGAGTGCAGGGTTCAGGGTGTGCCGCATACAGAGTGCAGGGTTCAGGGTGTGCCGTATACAGAGTGCAGGGTTCAGGGTGTGCCGCATACAGAGTGCAGGGTTCAGGGGTGTGCCGTATACAGAGTGCAGGGTTCAGGGTGTGCCGTATACAGAGTGCAGGGTTCAGCGTTCTTGCACAGCTGTTACCTCCCCCATTCACATCTAACTTTCACCCGTCTTCTTCTCTAGTACCTCCCCACTCACTGTGGGTGGCTCCGCCCCTCTCACTTGCAGGGAGATCATCGAGTGGAGGTGTCGGCATCTGCGCTGCACCTCGAGCACCCGCACCTCCCTTGTCCCCAATCTGCTGCTCAGGAGATCAGATCTGCAGGAGCCGTTGGGAGACCAACTGTCACTTGTAAAGTAGTGGGATGAGGATGACATCCGACGCGTTTCACAGACCTCCCATCTGCTTCCTTGGGGACACGGGAGGTAAATATGATGATGAGTCCGTTATCAATCATACGGCGAGGCAGGAAACCATCATGGATGCATGGAGGAAGTCCCACATCCTCCAGCTTTAGCACCTCCGCTCATCCGATGGATTCACAAGGTGTGGCTACTTCTTGGGTGAATCACAAAACAGACGAATATACTGTCCGGGCTCCGAAAAATACACCTGAAGTGCCATAGAGGGACACTATATTGCCCCAAGCATTGACCCCGCCCTCCCAATCTTGTGATTCAGGTGTTCCAATCCCCTCCATATCATGTGATCCAATCCCCTCCCAATCATGTGATTCAGGTGTTCCAATCCCCTCCAAATCATGTGATTCAGGTGTTCCAATCCCCTCCAAATCATGTGATTCAGGTGTTCCAATCCCCTCCATATCATGTGATCCAATCCCCTCCCAATCATGTGATTCAGGTGTTCCAATCCCCTCCAAATCATGTGATTCAGGTGTTCCAATCCCCTCCATATCATGTGATTCAGGTGTTCCAATCCCCTCCGACTTCATGTGATTGAGGTGTTCAAATCCCGTCCATATCATGTGATTCAGGTGTTCCAATCCCCTCCATATCATGTGATTCAGGTGTTCCAATCCCCTCCCAATCATGTGATTCAGGTGTTCCAATCCCCTCTATATCATGTGATTCAGGTGTTCCAATCCCCTCCCAATCATGTGATTCAGGTGTTCCAATCCCCTCCATATCATGTGATTCAGGTGTTCCAATCCCCTCCCAATCATGTGATTCAGGTGTTCCAATCCCCTCCCTATCATGTGATTCAGGTGTTCCCCTCCCCCTCCATATCGTGATTCAGGTGCTCCAATCCCCTCCATATCATGTGATTCAGGTGTTCCAATCCCCTCCATGGACACAGGTGTATACAATCAAGCCCCTAGGCATGCAGACGGCTTCTACAAACATTGGTGAAAGAATGGGTCGCTCTCAGGAGCTCAGTGACTCCAAGCGTGGTCCCGTGATAGGTGGCCACCTGGGCAATAAGTCCATCCGTGACATTTCCTGGCTACTAAATATTCCACGCTCAACTGTTAGTGGGATTATAACAAAGTGGAAGAAACTGGGAACAACAGCCACTCAGCCACCAAGTGGTAGGCTACGTCACATGACAGGGCGGGGTCAGCGCATGCTGAAGCGCACAGTGCGCAGAAGTCACCAATTGTCTGCAGAGTCAATAGCTAAAGACCTCCAAACTTGGTGTGGCCTTCAGATGAGCCCAACAACAGTGCGTAGAGAGCTTCATGGAATGGGTTTCCATGGCCGAGCAGCTGCATCCAAGCCTTCCATCACCAAGTGCAATGCAAAGCGTTGGATGCCTTGGTGTAAAGCATGCCGCCACTGGACTCTAGAGCAGGGGAGGCGTGGTTTCTGGAGGGACCAATCACACTTCTCTGTCTGGCCATCCAATGGACATGTCTGGGTTTGGTGGTGGCCAGGAGAACGGTACTTGCCTGACTGCATTGTGCCAAGTGTAAAGTTTGGTGGAGGGGGGGTTATGGTGGGGGGTGTTTTTCAGGGGGTGGGCTTGGCCCCCTAGTTCCAGTGAAGGGAACTCTTAAGGTGACATTTTGGACAATTTCATGCTCCCAACATTGTGGGAGGAGTTTGGGGATGGCCCCTTCCTGTTCCAACATGACTGCCCCCCAGTGCACAAAGCAAGGTCCATAAAGACATGGAGGAGACAGTTTGGGGTGGAGGAACTTGACTGTCCTGCACAGAGTCCTGACCTCAACCCCATAGAACACCTTTGGGATGAATTAGAGCGGAGACTGCGAGCCAGACCTCCTCCCCCGACATCAGTGCCCCTCCCCCGACATCAGTGCCTGACCTGACAAATGTGCTTCTGGAAGAATGGTCCAACCTTCCATAGACACCCTTCTAAACCTTGTGGGGGGCCTTCCCAGAAGAGTTGAAGCTGTTATAGCTGCAAAGGGCGGGGCCAACTCAATATTGAACCCTACGGGCTAAGACTGGGGGGCCATTACTGGTCATGTGCGTGGGAGGGGCGGGGCCAACTCAATATTGAACCCTACGGACTAAGACTGGGGGCCATTAAAGGTCATGTGTGTGGAAAGGGCGGGACCAACTCAATATTGAACCCTGCGGACTAAGACTGGTGGGCCATTAAAGGTCATGTGTGGGGCAAAGGGCGGGGCCAACTCAATATTGAACCCTACGGACTAAGACTGGGGGCCATTAAAGGTCATGTGTGTGGAAAGGGCGGGGCCAACTCAATATTGAACCCTGCGGACTAAGACTGGGGGGCCATTAAAGGTCATGTGTGTGGAAAGGGCGGGGCCAACTCAATATTGAACCCTGCGGACTAAGACTGGGGGGCCATTAAAGGTCATGTGTGGGGAAAAGGGCGGGGCCAACTCAATATTGAACCCTACGGACTAAGACTGGGGGGCCATTAAAGGTCATGTGTGTGGAAAGGGCGGGGCCAACTCAATATTTAACCCTACTGACTAAGACTGGGGGGCAATTACAGGTCATGTGCGTGGAAAGGACGGGGCCAACTCAATATTGAACCCTACTGACTAAGACTGGGGGGCCATTAAAGGTCATGTGCGTGGAAAGGGCGGGGCCAACTCAATATTGAACTCTACTGACTAAGACTGGGGGGCCATTAAAGGTCATGTGCGTGGAAAGGGCGGGGCCAACTCAATATTTAACCCTACTGACTAAGACTGGGGGGCAATTACAGGTCATGTGCGTGGAAAGGGCGGGGCCAACTCAATATTGAACCCTACTGACTAAGACTGGGGGGCCATTAAAGGTCATGTGCGTGGAAAGGGCGGGGCCAACTCAATATTGAACTCTACTGACTAAGACTGGGGGGCAATTACAGGTCATGTGCGTGGAAAGGGCGGGGCCAACTCAATATTGAACCCTACGGACTAAGACTGGGGGCAATTACAGGTCATGTGAGTGGAAAGGGCGGGGCCAACTCAATATTGAACCCTACGGACTAAGACTGGGGGCAATTACAGGTCATGTGTGTGGAAAGGGCGGGGCCAACTCAATATTGAACCCTACGGACTAAGACTGGGGGCAATTACAGGTCATGTGAGTGGAAAGGGCGGCGGACCATTGCTTGGGGCAATATCGTGTATTTTGTTACATTGTTACTGAGGTAGAAAGACGACACAAAACCATCCAGCTCAACCAATGGAGAAAACACAAAGGTGCGATCCCAGCGATCCTATTATGTGTGACTTCACTTCATAGAAGGTTGTTAGAGATATACATAGATATCATCCATTGGGGGCCCCAAGCCGATTAAGGGCCCCATGACAACTGATGAAAATAATATTACTTTGATCTTGAAAGAAAATGACAATGAAGATTTCTTAAATTGTTTTAAAAAAAAAAAAAAAAAACAACTCAAAGAAAGGAAAATTTTCCATTAAAGACTCTACAGAGAAAATTTCCCGCACTGTGTGTCTGAGTGTGCATTTCCCGCACTGAATGCGCTCCAACGCTGCGATCTGCGGTGTCAGTGCAATGCTAATGAGACCCCAAATGCAGGTTACAAACGCAGTCGTTCGCCTGCCCCGGATCGCATGGTACAGAAGTACCAAGCAAACGGTAAAGTTCGGCTTGCACTACCATTGCTGCGCTCGGTGCGATTTCAGCCATTCCCATCACTGCGCTGAATCACATGTATGAATCACACAGGAATGTACAGCGCGCTCCTCCGAGATCCATGTCATCAACCGGCCCGAAATGTGGCTTTAAAGCCTCAACGTTTTTACTTTCATGCAGACATAGTACAGGAGACGGTCAGAGACTGCAGACACAGTACAGGAGATGACCAGAGACTGCGGATGTACTACAGGAGATGACCAGAGACTGCAGACACAGTACAGGAGATGACCAGAGACTGGGGACACAGTACAGGAGATGACCAGAGACTGCGGACACAGTACAGGAGATGACCAGAGACTGCGGACACAGTACAGGAGATGACCAGAGACTGCAGACATAGTACAGGGGATGACCAGAGACTGCAGACATAGTACAGGAGATGACCAGAGACTGGGGACACAGTACAGGAGATGACCAGAGACTGCAGACACAGTACAGGAGATGACCAGAGACTGCAGACATAGTACAGGAGATGACCAGAGACTGCAGACACAGTACAGGAGATGACCAGAGACTGGGGACACAGTACAGGAGATGACCAGAGACTGCAGACACAGTACAGGAGATGACCAGAGACTGCAGACATAGTACAGGAGATGACCAGAGACTGCAGACACAGTACAGGAGATGACCAGAGACTGCGGACACAGTACAGGAGATGACCAGAGACTGCAGACATAGTACAGGAGACGACCAGAGACTGCGGACACAGTACAGGAGATGACCAGAGACTGCGGACACAGTACAGGAGATGACCAGAGACTGCAGACATAGTACAGGAGACGACCAGAGACTGCGGACACAGTACAGGGATGACCAGAGACTGCGGACACAGTACAGGAGATGACCAGAGACTGGGGACACAGTACAGGAGATGACCAGAGACTGCAGACACAGTACAGGAGATGACCAGAGACTGCGGACACGGTACAGGAAATGACCAGAGACTGCAGACACGGTACAGGAGATGACCAGAGACTGCGGACACAGTACAGGAGATGACCAGAGACTGCGGACACAGTACAGGGGATGACCAGAGACTGCAGACACAGTACAGGAGATGACCAGAGACTGCGGACACAGTACAGTGGATGACCAGAGACTGCAGACACAGTACAGGGGATGACCAGAGACTGCAGACACAGTACAGGGGATGACCAGAGACTGCAGACACAGTACAGTGGATGACCAGAGACTGCGGACACAGTACAGGAGATGACCAGAGACTGCAGACACAGTACAGGAGATGACCAGAGACTGCGGACACAGTACAGGAGATGACCAGAGACTGCAGACATAGTACAGGAGATGACCAGAGACTGCAGACATAGTACAGGAGATGACCAGAGACTGCAGACATAGTACAGGAGATGACCAGAGACTGCAGACATAGTACAGGAGATGACCAGAGACTGCAGACATAGTACAGGAGATGACCAGAGACTGCAGACATAGTACAGGAGATGACCAGAGACTGCAGACATAGTACAGGGGATGACCAGAGACTGCGGACACAAGGAGATGACCAGAGACTGCAGACACAGTACAGGAGATGACCAGAGACTGGGGAGACAGTACAGGAGATGACCAGAGACAGCGGACATAGTACAGGAGATGACCAGAGACTGCGGACACAGTACAGGAGATGACCGGAGACTGCGGACATAGTACAGGAGATGACCAGAGACTGCAGACACAGTACAGGAGATGACCAGAGACTGCGGACACAGTACAGGAGATGACCAGAGACTGCAGACATAGTACAGGAGATGACCAGAGACTGCAGACATAGTACAGGAGATGACCAGAGACTGGGGAGACAGTACAGGAGATGACCAGAGACTGACGGCGGACATAGTACAGGAGATGACCAGAGACTGGGGAGACAGTACAGGAGATGACCAGAGACTGGGGAGACAGTACAGGAGATGACCAGAGACTGGGGAGACAGTACAGGAGATGACCAGAGACTGGGGAGACAGTACAGGAGATGACCAGAGACTGGGGAGACAGTACAGGAGATGACCAGAGACTGCAGACACAGTACAGGGGATGACCAGAGACTGCAGACACAGTACAGGAGATGACCAGAGACTGGGGAGACAGTACAGGAGATGACCAGAGACTGCAGACACAGTACAGGGGATGACCAGAGACTGCAGACACAGTACAGGAGATGACCAGAGACTGGGGAGACAGTACAGGAGATGACCAGAGACTGCAGACACAGTACAGGGGATGACCAGAGACTGCAGACACAGTACAGTGGATGACCAGAGACTGCAGACATAGTACAGGAGATGACCAGAGACTGCAGACATAGTACAGGAGATGACCAGAGACTGCAGACATAGTACAGGGGATGACCAGAGACTGCGGACACAAGGAGATGACCAGAGACTGCAGACATAGTACAGGGGATGACCAGAGACTGCGGACACAAGGAGATGACCAGAGACTGCGGACACGGTACAGGAGATGACCAGAGACTGCGGACATAGTACAGGAGATGGTCAGAGACTGCAGACATAGTACAGGAGATGACCAGAGACTGCAGACATAGTACAGGAGACGGTCAGAGACTGCAGACATAGTACAGGAGACGGTCAG